AACTGATTGTTCAGATATGAGGTCTTTTATCATAACTCCTCCATTTATGCAGCTAGGAACATGAAATTTCGCACCATTTTCACTCATTATTAACAGAATACTTGCAGTGAAAATAACAAGGATCGGATGACTACAACATATATCTTCCATACATCTGATTGTTCAGATATGGGATTTTACTGTAAAACTCCTTTATTTGAACAGCTAAAACCGATAAATTTCGTAAGATATTTTATAAATAATAATACAAAGTCTACTGAGAAAATCGTCAAAATCTATGCTGTATAAGCTTTATCTCCTATAGCACTGATTGTTAAGATACCAGTTTTTGCCATATATCTCCTTTATGTACGAAACTAAACCCAATAAATTGTGTTACCGGTTTATATACCGATCACATAGCGGTGAAAATCACTTAGATTGGTGTCATATAAAGTATATCTTCCATACCTCTGATTGTTTAGATGCGATTTTTTATATAAGTATGTAACTCCTCTATCGATGTATGCAGATGTATTCAAAAGCAGAAAAAACAACAATGCTTAAGCGGTAGAAGTTATAGCAGTTATTTCGGATATCACTACATCTCCGATAAAACGTATATATAGCAAACATAATGACAAATTGTACACAGCCAGTATTTTTTCCTGTAGTCGTGGGAGTATTTGTGTAACAAAACTGGTCAAATGTCATATTTATCAACATTGATAAACATATATTTAGACATATTATTTCTTAAGCTATATAACCGAGCTATCAATGGGCAGTCAAGTTCCAACTTCTGCTTGACTTTTGAAGTACGTCAAATAGAACATAATCTTTTTAACAATATTTTTTGTTTTCTCTTCTTTAAATACCTGCATTGGTTTCTTTCTTTATTATGATTTTTTGGACCAATCTTAAAACAACTACTAGACACAAAAGAAGAAAGTGTGCACTGTAATTCTTAACCAAATTTTCGTGATTTGCTTTTGATGTTACATATATTCGTTTCAATAATTTCAAACGGGGATCTTGGGGGAATTTATTTTTAGTAAAAATTTAAAGAATAGTAATTTTGTTTACTTGCCGTGCAATATATTTTTGGTAGGAATATACATTGGATCCTTGGCTAAAAACTCCTGTGGTAAAACTGTCCCTTCTTTGCTATTTAAAGTCAAAGAGTAAGCTCCTTCAATAGGGATTTCCAGAAGAAATGGTCAACGTCTGGCTATAAAGAGAATCGGTGCATAAATAATTAAAAAATTATAGGTCTGACCTTTAATAAGATAAGAATTACGTAACTATCTGAGATTCAAATGCTTATAGAAAAACGGGGTGTTTTTTTTTAAATAACAATATTCTGATCCGATTCCGCTGACAGCCACGACTTTTAAAACAGAATTTTGTTCAAAATTTACATTCGTGCAAAATAATATTTAACTTATTTCCATATCCACCTATTTAGCTCGCTGTAAGCACAAGTTGTTCAAACCAGTCGCAGAAGAAAGTATTAAAAATTAGTTACAAAAACTAAAATCGAAAAACGCTCATGAAGTTACAGATTCCCCAAATTCTGAAACAGCCAAAGGAATGAGAATGAAGAATTCTTTTTAAAAGGCTTTAGAAAAACCTGACTCATCTAGTTTGGCTTGTAAGCGCTGTTGAAACAACGATCTCGCCATTATGCTAGATTCTAATTGTTGTTTAAAAATACTTAACATCCTATCAAAATTCAACATTCGCAACATCCCTAGTTCGTATGTATGGATACCGCAATTGCGATCATCGTTTATAATTTCGTAAGATATCTCAACAGCAGGGTGGTAGATATATTCGGGCAAAACTAGCGGTTCACACTTATTTACAGCGGATTTAGATGCATCATCAACTTACTTTGCCAAACTTATTGCGAAGTACGTTAATTTGATTTAGGCAGAGCTCAGCCATCCCCTCAAAAAATACGTTTTTGCACGCACGAGATGAGAAAGACACGATATCATTGTCAATGATGTTCAATTTGGTAAATTAAAGTCACTCAACACAATTATTGAATCAGAGGGTTTAATCATTAAATGAACTGATTTCAGTAAAGAGACATGTTGTGAATACACTGATAAGTCAGATCGGGGATGAATATAGCATAGAGCTAAATAAGTAAACTCTTCCAACCTGTACATGAATGCATTTGAATTCTGCAGATTCAATGTGCGGAAGACTTACTTCTTCAGATGGTATTGAAGAGCAGAGAGTACGCCGCCGCCGATTATGTCCTCACAATCTTTTCTGTAGATATGATAATTATTTGACAGAATCTCTGAATTGTAAATGTGAGGTTTGAGCCAAGTTTCAATGAAAGAAATTATATTATAATTGCATTCAAATCCATTAAGATATAAGTTCGTTAATTTAGTATTTAAGCCTCTTACGTTTTGATAATAAATACTTAAAGCAGATTTAGTAATCAGTCTTTTCATTCAGTATTCTGACGCGGGATGTTTGCTAAATTATTATTTTTGTTGGGCCTATACTCGAATTCACGAACGAATGCTCCGGAGGGCCAAAAAGAACTACTAAGCAGCATGTCAAAAGTTTATAAATTAACGTCAATTTTAATGAAGACATATTTCTTTCATATTTAAAGTTAAATTTTCTGATACTTAAGTTGATATTTTTAACTTTGGGCGAGATGTAAAACTTTATATTGTCTTCGGATATATCCCTCGAAAATCTGGAGACAATATAGACTTCTTTGATGGAACCACAGTATATACAGTAATAAACCTTTTCACAATTTTTCACCAATCGGTCCCCGAGGAGTACTTTTGGGTTGTGTGCAGCGTTTTCGTTTTACGCGGACAGCAACACTTACTGTGGGGAATTTCGCCTCATGATTAGAAAAAGGTGTTTTCGAGGATAAAATATATATAATTGTGTTATTTATAAGCAAAGTGTAGGTTAAGTATAGTATCAATGCTTAATTAAGATTAATATCAATAGTCAAGTACATAATGAACGCTTGTGTTTCTATAAACTGGGAAGTCACATCGTATTTTTTATTAAAAAATGTGACTTTTGTGAATTTATCAAGGAAAACTCCAAGTTTCCGAATATATTTAAGTCTTTATTCCAAAAAAAACAAGGTTTGTTTAGTTATAGAGACTCCATTGCCTGCCAGCACATCCGCCCTGAAAGCTCATTAAGTACACCCAAGTTTGAGCGGAACTCCTCAAACATACTTAACATCAAAGTATAGAAAGCCACAAATATGAATCATACACACATACAATAGCAATTGCTATGAATTGCTACCGTATAAATTCAGGGCACGCATTTGCTTGGAGACTGCGTTGGGTATGGTGGTCACATTCAATGGTTCATTACCCGGAGCTGCTCCAATATGATGAGTAGATTTTAGTGAGCCTCACATGCCACTGCCTCTGGCTACAAGCTGGATATCTGAATATTGGAAAACAAATAGCAATTATCTCTTTAAAATGATAAGAAAAGTATTTGTTTACAAAATTACCTCTGCCGTTCTGCCATGGTATGGTTGTTGCTCCCTTTTATACCACAGTAATTTTGTATGCAACTCTGAGTCAACAAAATTCATGCTCCTTCTCATTATCAACCGTGATAAGATTTTACCCCCGAGGAGTACTCAAAAAGGTTTATTACTGTATATACTGTGGATGGAACCACAACCAGTCTCCTCGTATTTGACTCGATTACCGGCGGAAGGGGTTGAATAACTGAGTTAAGGCTCAGTTATGCATACTTGGCATTGCATAAGAGTTGTCACATAAGGAAGCTGTTAAAGCGTGTAAGTGGTTACCTAACGCATAGCATTATTGAAGAAGTCCGTTGATTTTTGATTTCTACGTAAAATGATATGCTATGCAGTGCAGTGCAAAGAATGCACTACTAAGCCTTTACTCATTGAGGGTAGAGTAAGCTTTGGAGGATTAGATGACGATAGCACAACTTCAACGGGGGAAGATACGTCAGGCTCGTTATTATTAGAAGCAGAATCAGACTTTGTTACATTAAGTCATTCGGAAGATTGTTCTGATGTGGAAGGACTATCCTTTCATTAGGCGGACTATGAAGGCGCTTACGTTTTGACACACGAATATCCTTAACACATTTTCATAATGCTTAAATTTTTCGGTTAGCGCCGACAACTCTCTCCCTACCTCTGGTTTGCCTAGACAACTTAAAGAAATCAACTTGGGTTGACCTGCGCTTTAAGCAGCGAACACCTTTGCCATAAATGGCAAATACCATCACAGAACTAGCACGATAAGAAGCGTTCAGATTCGCTTTTAACTTGGCAATTATCAAGGTTGCACTTCGTAGTGAACAATTAATAATACTTATAGTAATAAAAAGGCAAACAAAATACATACTTAAACAGTTTAGGAGGTTAGTTAAAATCAGCTGATGTACTTAGCTTTAAATGAAAGTAGCGAACAGTTTGAAAATCACTGTATTACGACACCCAGTAAACACAACGCAAACAGTTGTGACAAGAATTACTAAAACAAGTAAACAAAAAGAGCAAAAGAAACAAGGAAAAACAAAAACAAACATGCAGTTCCACAAGATTTACTATTTCACAACAACAGTGATAGCAACTGATGAGTCGGCAAGATTACTTGTATATAATTGGAATTTATTTAAATTGCTTCAAAACAATGTAAAACACAATAATAATAACTTTTACTTAGCTTTATTGGATTGAGTGATTGCACTCCAAATAATAATACACTTTATTATATTTTACACGAGGAAGCTCGCACACAAAGTCATAGATCCAGTAATTTTAGTTCAAGAGCACTTTTTCGGCCCATTGAAACAACAATTTTATTAACTTATGTACGGTACGTATTCAAGTGAATCAGAAAAGATTTTTTTGTTCTTTAACAAAAGTCTACAAAAAATTAAAATTTTGCATCGTGCCTTTTTTAAGATTTTTTTTAATTGGTTACTCTTGAAAATGATATTAAAACGAAGCCCATCCGATGCTTGCATGTCGGTTCTTGAAGGAAATAAACTTGCCGATTTAAGTGAAGTGGGGTATACATCTGTACGATATATACAGCTTGTTTTGGCGACATGGCAGCTCAAGTTTTAGTGGTCTAAAATTACCGTGAACAGTTACGAAATATTATTGTATTTGAAGGGTATTGACTTAAACATAGATAAAAAGTTCAGTATTGACAATCCAACTAATCTCTGTGAATTTAACTTAGATAAGTATCGAAAAATAATAAAAATAAATCAAAAAAGTTACCGCCATGCCGTTAACGACTGCCTCTCCAAAACCGCTACATAAATATATGCTTGGTGCTACGAACATCGATGGCAATGACAGTCCGTACCACAGTCAGTTGAAGCCACAGAGACAAGAACAGGATCAACAGTTGCAGCAAGAGCACCAAAAGGATACAGAGATGCATCAGTATGGCACTGTAGCAAGAAGTTCCCCCAAACATCAGCAAAAACAACAAAAATACCTAACGAGCAAGCCTTATCAAGAGCAACAGCAGCAGCAACAGGCGCACCAAGAGACAGATCGAATGTCGACAGAAATTACTGTTACGACATCATCTAATGGCCAGGATTCAAGGAATATGTCAGACCTACTACAGCTGCAACTGCTATCAGAGCAATCAGTTAAATATGGAAATATGGTCTCTCAAGAGACATTGAAACACTCAAACCAACAGTTTGCAGAACTCACCGCTAAAATGCCACCAAGTCAACATAAACAACAACAGCAGTTGCAACAAAAGCAGCGGCAGGAGCAAAGTTGCCATCCCATGCAGAAGGTATTTTCAGTAAATAAAACACAGCAACAACAACGAAACAGTATCAATGCAATCAATAGCAATAATGGCTATAGTTACAATCATAAAAAGAAATTACCAAGTCATTTCAACAACATTAACGACAGCAATTACAACAACGGTAGCTGTGATGCCAACACCTTGCACGAAAATAAACTTCACAACGTGAGAAATCTTGATGAGCCCGATGGCATAGGCAACGGAAGTGACGTAAGCGCTTGCAGTATTGATGCCAATCTTTTGGCTGAAATGAACGGCAGCACCACTGCTGCTGGCCCCCATGTAGGTAGCTTGGTTTCCATCACCAGCGAACAGCAACTCTGTCAGCTATACAATTCACAACAGCACTCCGACTACATAATATCCGATTACATGGAGAAAATAGCCACGCGCATTAGTCTCTTGGAGACTGAATTGAAATTTGCTTGGCGTTCTCTCGATTTGCTCTCCGGCGAGTATGGTAAAATTTGGGCGCGATTGGAGAAACTCGAGAAGATATCGGTTGAGCAGCAATCGGTTGTTAGTAATTTAATGGGCTTGATCGCACTGAAGCAAGAACATCAGCGTAAACAGCAGCTACAACTCAATCAAAGCCAGCAGCTGATTGCCGAGTGTGAGTCACATTTAGGCTTTATGGACAGCGATGTGGTTGCCGAACAGCGTCGCTCACCTTTTGACTACCTCTTGCGCGATGAACAGTTGTTGATGTCAAATTTAGTTGAAGCCGAGCAGCAGGCCATTCTACTGAACAACTCTGCTGCTGCTCTGCTGCAAGATATAGACATGGAAGGCACTTCGAAGCAATACAGTAATCTATTGCAGGAACTAAAAAATGACACCTTAGATGCTTTGGAAGCTGTACGCATGGATAGTGAGTTGGACGCACTGGACAAGTTGCTGCAACAGCAAACGAGCCTAATATACAGCGGCCATTTCGGAGAAACAAAACCCGCGTATATGATGTACCCACTTGGCGAACAGGAAAATTTGCAACACTCTGGCCGCTTTGAAGTGGGCGACGACGCAAACACAGCACTGTCGCAGCTTGCGCACCATGACGGACTTAGTGGATCGCTTTCAACTCTGGGCCATGTCGAGCAGAGGAAGCACCAAGAAGAAGCTGCTGCAATTACCGCAGCAACAATGTCACGACACAAACTGTATTCGGACTCAGATATACTTATTTACGAGCAGCAGAAAATGCAAGAAAACGACGCTAAAGGCCAACTGCTGCCGCAGTTCTTGAATAGCCGTCAGTTACTGGATAAGCTTTCATCCGGCGGTGGAGGCGATGAGAAAATCGATCGTCTGCAGCAGTACAAGGTGAGCGGTAGCATGCAGAGCTTACCTTTTGCGTATGGAGAGGTTTTCGGCTCGACAATCGCGACAGATAGCTCACTGAAAAAGGCACACTCACTGGCACACATAAGACCGCAACTATTTAGCGATTTACCCGCCGAAGGGAGTGTTGGAGGCATATCAACTGGAAATGTGACCGATATTGATTTGCCTTTGATTGATTTTGTTGAGCAGGTGAAGTTTTTTCGGAAAGCGGCCTCTAAACATGGCGAGGGCGGGCAAATTGATGTGGCCATAGAGGATACGGGAGGGACATGCGAGGAGGCGGCTGGAAACATTGGCCACAACAATGAAATGAACGAAGAATTTTACAAAAAACTTAACGAGGCGTATCGTGATAATAATCTGACAACTGAAATCTCAAATGTGGAGCGGCTACTGCAGCAATCCGAGGCTACACACGAACACATACTAGGCGGCTTGGGTACGTGCACGAACTCCGCGCTGGGTATGATACGCGAAGATAATGAAGAGTCGCCAGAGGTGCTTGTGCGTCCACGCGATGAACTATCGGAAAATATGTCTTCCGTGGCTGCAGCAACGACAACTACAAACTTAGTGTCAACAACAACGTCAACAGTTGCGAAAAAGATGAAGGATAGCAAGAAGCAAAAGAAAAAAAAACATCATAAAGATGAAATGGAAATGTTGAACAACTTGAAGAGTGCATTGGCAGAGGCCGCAAAATCAGCAGGGGATAATGGGAAAACGCAAACATGCGCTTGCACATCTGTCGATCTCTTCAGCAGTATCAATATAACAACTGGTCCTTATATAGGCGATCGACGCTCAACCGCTTCGTCGTCGGAGGAAGAGAACAGCGGTATTGGCACACAATTTCACGGTCAAGACCACTTCTTTTCGCAATTAAATGAGGATAAAACTGTGCTTCTCGATAGTACAGGCGAGATACTGCTCATGGAGATAAACAAAATTCAAGACTTGCAAGTACTGAACGGTGCACAAATACTTAAATTGCGGCAGTTAGTGAAAAAGGAGGCCGCTTTTTTCGAAAAGATCCATAAATTCAATAAAAACCTTCTGCTCCTGCTTCTAAATCCCGTTACAATGGCTGAGGAAATGCGGGCACTAGGCAACGACAAGCAGCGCAAATTCGAGACAGTGATGAATAAATTGGCAAGGAATATTGATACGCTGAAAAAGTTGGTTGGGAATTCGTTCGATGACTACAAGCGAAAGTACCTGGCTGACGCTGAGTTAACCTTGATGAAAGCAGCAGGGGAAGTCTCTGGCGACAACAAAGAGACTGCGTTTACCACGACGTCAACAGCTAAATCGTCGAAAAAAAATGGAAAATCTAAAAAAGGAGCCTTTAAGCATCACAAAGCATCACTGGAATGCGTGCCGGACTTTACGCACACAAACGATAAAAAAGATAAACTTGTGGAAAATAAATCCTCGCTTGAACAGCACATTAATATTAAAAACAGTGCCAGTAATAAAGCACATTTCGACTATAGTGCGCACTTATTACGCAATAATTCCAATTTAGATGAGCAGCTGAAAATACTAGAAACACAGGAGCATAAAATGCGCCTTAAAAAGTTGCATGACCCCGCCGCTAGCACGAGTGGCAGCAGTGCTGACATCGTTAGCTGCACCGGCATTGAGCTACGACAGTCATATTCCAACTTCTTGTGTACGGACAACTATTTGGCCGACATGGACATAGAGTTGGAGCGCATGCTTTTACAAACATCCACAGGCACGACTAGAAACAGGACAAGTGAAAGCTGTATATCGCAGCCGTTCGGTCGGGCGACCTCTGCGACAAATCTTTACAACAACGATGAGTACATTAAATCGCTGAAGCGCAGCTTAGAGCGACATAACAGCATGCTCTTCTTGCTACATTTGCAAAATCCCGATCAACACCACAAAACAAATGCATATCAAGACATTTTGGCTGTGGACATTGACGGTATTCTCTTAGCCGGTGTGGGCGGTTCCCAAAGTCCCCCACCACCAGCACCGAATGATGCCCATCCTGAAGTGTCGAATGAATTTAGTGAAAATGATAACGCCGTTGTTGACGATTCAATACCATCAATGCGATCCTTGAATCCTTTTCACCAGCAAGCGCATGCAGCAGCGTATAGTGGCGCTCATCAGCAGCTTCAACATGCCGGCGGCTCGCCAAAACCGACAAAATCTGATTCTGGGCTTTCGTCTATGAGCGGCTTATCTAGCTGGGAAAAATCACCCAATTCTCCTGTGTGCGCTGCAGGAAGCAGTAGTGTTGCTAGTAGTGGTGATATATGTAATCCCTTCCTTAGCAAGTATCAAGGCATTAATATAGGCATGCAGCTCCTAATGGCTGAAGCGGTGCCCTCGAACAACTGCCACTTATTAAACTTGGATAGTAATGGCTTAATGGGAGATCCCAGTGGCAGACTTGATGTGGGTCATGATGTCAATGATATGCTTTTAAATATTGGTAGTGCTGACTCTGAATTGGTGACTACAACACGAGCCGTCACCATAACCACAGCTTGTTCCGTCATACCAACAATAATCAGCTCAACTATTGCTACGTTTTCAAACACGCACGATAAAACAATGCAGCTACCAACACAGGTGCAACATCAAATTCCCCACCAAAAGCCACAATCTCAATCGCACAAACAACAACATAAAGCTCTACAACCAACAGAAAAAGACTACATGTTTAGCGAAGAGAATCTGAACTACATACGGGAACTATCAAAGAACATGCCCATTTGTTCGGTATACGAGCACAAGTCAATTTTCAATATATTGAAAAATGATGCCTTGGATGAGAATATTCGAACTGTGGATGAAATGCTTGCCTGGGATCAGCAACAGCAGCAGCAACAACCACAAAATCAGCAGAACCTTGCTACAACTGCTAGCGGATTCGTCGAACAAAACCACCGCATTCCGGATCTCTTGCGCACACCCGTTCATGCAGAGTCTTCTAAAGGTGAGAGGGATGTTTTTATCGATTCCCACGAAGATACTTCCAGTGATAAAGGTGAATTGCGTGAGACTCAAACACGTAGGCGATATCTCACAGATCGTCTAGTATACTATCCAACTTCTAATGGCATTGCCGATTATAACAGCAGCAAAAACTTGGATTATATGGGCAAGAACAACTTTGACTATCGGCGATTTCAAAATCAACAGCAGCAGCGTCACCAATCTTACAGATGTGTAACTGGCGTTGGTTATGCTGATGCGTCGTCATCGCCAAGTGAACCGCCACGAAAGACACCACAACAACAGCAGCAGCATTTGTTACAGACACAACGACGAACAACACCAGCCACCTACGAATTGTGCAATCAGCAGACGCAGGAAAGAAATAGTTTGCTCGACAGTCGGGCTTATGTACTACAACAACTGCCTTCCAATTCACATCATCTTATCGCCTCAGATTCATCTGTTCTGCTAGATTCAAATACCTCTCATTTTGGTGGCGTTGTAGCGCGTGATGGTGCGACTTCCCAAAACATGACTTTGTCCTCGGCGTCTTCTGGCGCAGTTGGGTTGGCTGGCGGTATGCCTACTTTGAGTGGCAGTGTGAACAACGCTGTTGCTGGTGGGCAGCCGATACTCCATAAGCACCCTAAGGTTTGGAATAAGCTCACTCATTTCTTACCGGAAAATTTCAAATTGAAACGGTCATCAAGATACGGCCGTTCGCAGTCATTACCCACTGGATATGAGAATGACGCGTGCGGCAGTAAAATTCAATCTCGTGGCCAGGCTGGCTCTTACCCCTCTGTTGCTGGTTACATCACACCCAGTGTTTCCGATTCCCACACCGAGCCTAATGGCAGGGATGTGTCAGAGTCCATGATGTATAACATGACGGGCCCGGCACCGACGTCGTCAGCCAAAAGGCAGCAGCGTGGAATAAAGCATTTGGGGGGCAGCTTCGACTTTTCAAAGCGTCTTCACAAATTGCCTTTGCAGCTGGTGCAGCGTGCTACGCATCCGGGCACTCGCACGGTTGCCAGCACATCTACATCATCCGCAACTGCTGCCACCGGTTTAGCCAGCGGTACCAGCATTAAGAAGATAATAGCCGGCAAGGGTCACAAGACTCGCTCTAAGTTTTCGGTGACCGTGAATAATTTCATGCATAAAGCCAAAACATACCGGCGGCACAGCTTTGTGCCAGGGAGTAGTGGTGGTGGTGGTACAATGGCGACGGCGATAGTGGGTAGTGTCTCGGATACCGAAGCAGATTTGCCCAGTTTCACATCTTCCGACAACGAAGACTCAATAGTGAGTGATACTGGAGAATTAAATGCGGTTGTGTCCGATGGCAAGCCTTTTGATGATTATGATGTTAACGCATTCGAGGCTCAAAAGTTGCAGCTTCAGAAACACGATACACAGCACATGAAGATACTGCACCAGAAACAGCAACAACAACCAAACCAACAAACGGATACCAAACTAACTAAACAAGAAGAGGAGTCCAGAGAACAGGACGAAGAAGATGACTATGAAGAAGACGTGCCTTCTTATGGAGAAGTTGACGAATTCTGTGACACGAATGATCAACACTATGGGACAAATGACTATCAAGGAAATGAAATTGAAGAAGATATCGATGCAATAGCAATGAGTATGTTCCCTCAAATATGCAAATTAAGTCACACAGAAGTGCCAAAAACTGGCGTAGAAAAAGAAGGCAGTGTCTCACAGTCACCACCAAAAGTAGCGGACGAAAAAACGGAACAAATAATTACCAATAATAAAGGGAGCCTGTTTCCGGTTATGAGCGACATTAGACGCCAGCATCAATACCAACACCAACCAACAAACGATGCTCTTTTCACACCTGCTACACCTGAAGAATCAATACCCGGCTCCTGCCCTTTAGCAAAAACTCAGCTGCATAAAAGTGCCTCCGTTTTCGTAGATGACGAGGAATTCGATTACAGCGATAGAGGTGACATCATGCAGCCAGAAATACAAGCAGGTTGCTCATCGTCGACAGTCGGCAATGAAGCACCCCAGTTGCTAATAACAAAATTGAACAATAATTCCGATCTGGCTAGTATGAGCACAATCCCTGGCATGGAGTACACGCTAAATGGGCAAGGTCAACGAAATATTCTAACACAACAATCGCTCGACGTACCAGCAGGGGGATTACACGAAGATGACGATAACCGTAGCCAACATTCATACCGCACCTTATCGTCGTCACGTCGGCAAAGCACCGAAGACAGCATTGATACAGACGATGAATACTTTTGCTATGAATTGCGGCAGTTGGAAGTGTTGGAACAACAACGCAAAGCTGAGGTACAAGCCGAAGCTTCCGCTGCAGCTGCTACAGTCGACAATTCTCAATTGTTCTCACAAATCGATCAGCTAGCGCTAAATAGCACAGCTGGATATTACAATTGCGACGGCAGAAAGTATGAAGATGGTGAAAGCGAGTTGTTGTCTGACAAATATGAGCCAGATGAAAGTGTAAAACAACTTATGTTTGAAGTTTTGAGAGAATTGAAATATGTTGCCAAGCAACTACCAGCTACTGATGATTCCAAGTCCGAGGAAGCCACCAAAGCTCCACCAAAACGGCAGCATTTCCAGCGGCGAAGCTCAACAAAATCAAGCGTAAATACGTTCGAACGAGTAACAAAAGTGACGGATATGCATAGTGCGTGGCAAGATGCTAATGGCGATGATCTGCAACGCAAATATTCGGATATTGATGCGGATAAATACGCGGGTGTCAATGCTGCCAGCAGTGTTGCTTTGGATGAATTTAACCCATTGCACGCCATGGAGAGCATCGAAGAAGCTGCCCGGCATGATTTCGAGAAATGTCAGCGGCGGCAACAGCGTCAGCTTCAACTGCAGACACAGAATGTGGCAAGTGTTGAGCGTGCGGTGCCTCAGAAACGTTTTAGAAAACGACGGGACAGGCGTCGTACGAACGACAGTTGTTTAGATAATGAAGCGAGCCACGAGTTGCATCATTCAGCAAGCTCCTCATATTCATCCGAAGAGGAAGCTGCGAGCGCTATGAAACGCTATAAAGAGAAGGTAAAACCGGCTCAAATACGTGGAAGTAGCAGTAGTGACAAGCACAAGCGTGCATCTATGACACGAGCAATTCCACATGAACCCGAATTCTATGGCGAAATTGTGCCAAATGAATTGCAAATAACCGAAGCTATGCAGTCGTCAACTGATGATAAAGTAGTTGCGATTGATGAAAATATCGATGATGAAGAGTTTAAAAATCTGAGTATGTCATCCGGTTCCACACTTGGTCCAGATACGCCAGCTGAACTAAGTGAGGAATTGGAGGGCGACCAGCTAACATACAAGACTGCACCTAACTACCAAGCATTCAAAGATAATCATAGACGAACGGAAATAGTCAATGGAGAAGTTCAAGAAATTATGAATGCTTCACAAAGTAGTGATGCTCATTCCGCTCATAAACATGCTAATCATATTTCGGTTGAAGCTACAGACAGTACGCAGTCGCCTCTACTCCAGGCGGGAAAAGAAATAGAAACAGAAACTCAAATAGAGCCATCGAAACCACCATCACGACTCATAAGTCATGATTCTAGTATTGAGAGTAGTGGCACTCAGGTAACTAACGGCAACGCATCTGTACTCGGAAGTAGCAAATGGAAGCTTTTGAAAACACTCAAAGAACGTAAAATCGAAGAAAAAATTAATCAGGACAAAATTAAAGATGATGAACTTACCAAAGATCGAGAAAAGGTAAGAATCATGTTCATACGCATAAATTCTAACATATACATACGTACGCATAAAACCCTGCAGAAAATCTTACTAGCATAGAACTAGACCTCTTGCTGACAGTACGAGTTCTATCTCAATACCCAAGCAATGCTTTCAACTGTCACGGCGATGTCATTGGCGGTGGCAATTGTCGCCCAGTGCATTACTTTGCAACTAGTTTTTTATCGGTTCCGATTTGGATAGTTTTATTTTATAAGAAAACGGTTTTTAAGATTAAATTTTTGATATTTTTTCCGTTTTTTCCTTTCTTTTCAGATTCCATGTTTGTTACATATTAAAAAAAAAATCAATTCATGCAGAAAAAAATTATCAACTGATAAAAAAATAACCCACTTGTAGTTAGATTTCTTGCATGATTCAATAATACAAGGTTAGATAATTATTGACAGCTGCGGTTTGACACTCCCTTACAAAAGGTTGCATTTACGAAGGACAGAGGACAGGGCAAGAATGCAATCCCTTGTTGCGAAAATGGTAGTAGAAAAGTACTCAAAGTAGGCAATTAGTAGTGAAATTCCTTTCGTAAATTCTAATGTATTTGCAGGAAGTCTGGCATTTTAAACGAAATGTTGAACGTAATATTGATATATATACGTGAATTACGTAATTTATATGCTATTTAGCCGTATAAAAACTGCAAAATGACTCAAAATTAAAATAAGGCTACTATCAGATTGATGTAAACATCCAATGCTTATGTTTTCATCAGTTAAATATGCTTCATATGCATATACAAATAAACATATTGCACAAAAGCTTATACTTTTATTTCACACCAAAGCTACACTGTTTCCATGTAAATTTGCAGAGAAGCAACATGGTGCCACTGCTAAGGGAGCGGTGCGAGAGAGACAACTGTCAGTTTATCGAACCTTGTATTATTGAATCATGGCTTTTTTACGGGATTGCCATAAAATATATAACTTGTAGTTAGCTACAAAAAGCTAACTTGAAACTAGTTGACAAGTAGTGTAGGAGATTGTTTTCTTTAAACATGTTTCTATTTAAATATCCTGCACTTCGCAACTACTTTTTCGAATTGAGGACAAATAAAAGGAAGATCGAAATTTCATATTATCATTTTTAAGTTATGTCTGACGGAGTTCGAATATGGGACCACCTACAGCAGAATATGTAAAGAAATATGACATGTAATAAAATAAATAAAATAAATAAAAAAAATATATAAAAAAATAAAAATAAATAAAAATATTTTGTTTTTCCTATTGTTATTTTATGTCCAAAAGTAGTTAGTTACAAGTTAGTTACATTAAATGCAGGGGTAACCACCCTTGACTTCTTCTAATGCAGAGATAACTACCCTTGACTATTTCGCGGCCATCGCCATAAAAATATAGTTAGCTTTCGTCAGAGAAAATAAACAGATAATAGTGACTCTTAGCTTCTTCCTAATCAATTTAAAGCTAGCTTATAGCTAGACACATTTCCTGCAGGGTCACAACTGCCTCCACTGCGATTTGAACTCGCGACCAACGATGCTTGAGTCGGAGGTCTTCGCGCTGAGCTACTTTCATATTGTACGAGAAGTGAGAATTTGTACACTTGCACCTAAATGTACTAAAATAAGTATATAGTTCGGAACTAGCGCTTTACCAGACTGTCTTTAAATTTTACTGCATGGAATGTATTACGAAAACTGTTTTATGTACATGGCATACTCGAAATTTAAATTACACCCTCAAATCTGAGCTTTGATCCATAATGTCATAACTAAACGTAATTTTACTAAATTGTTACTGTAAGCACACTGTGATGGATTAATACTGAAAACAATTTCAAATTGAAGTCAAAGTAAAAAATGGGTGAACAGCTAAAGTATTATGAATTAAGACGGTTATACTTAATACTGTCGTTTTCCTCTGACATATGAAAACAGTATTTACGCGAAAATGAAACACCGGTATACTGCCATATGTATGTATTACGGATGCCAAAATTTAAGGAAAATTGTGATCCCGGGATTTCGGGATATTTTTTAGGTAGTCCCGGGATCCTGGTATTTATCCTGGGATTCAAATTGAGTCCTAGATTTTATGAATATGAGTAAAAATTCAATATCTGAAAGCATTTAAACGTACCATGAAATAAAACTATTTAAAATTTACGATAAACTGATTGTAAAACTCATATATCGCTAGCTTAGAGTGAAAAGTTGCTAACTTCACTTCTAATGACAAATCATATTTTGATATAGGTTGCTAGATAAATTGTAACTGCATCGTTTCGAAAAGGGTAAAGGTCCCTGTTTTATGTTTTTTCGTTTATATTCAATGAAAGGAAAATTTTCTAAGGCTAAAAAAAGCTCCGAAAATTCAATAAGCCCAAAATAGTTCGAAATCTTTTAATAAAGATTGAATCCCTCTGATTGGTATGGAGTTTTACTTTGCTTTAAACAGGCAAAATGTTGTATTCAAAGTTTTGCGAAATACTTGAAGAAAATGGTTATAAGAAGTGTTTTCCTCTCCTGTATAACTTTTAAATTGAGACTGAGCAACTTTGCACTCTACGCTAACGATATTTATTAAATCAGACAAATTTTAAATTAAAACATTTTCTTAATTGTATTTAAAAGACCATGTGATTGAGGAACGTGTACATCACAAACAACAATGTAAATACCAGGTACTTTTGAAAGTAACGATAAACAAAAAATAAACATAACAGAAATTTACAAAAACAATTTCTCTAAACATGTTTATTCTACTCTATAAAGAAATTGCGAACGGAGAATTTGTTGCCATTTTTTTTGAGGGTGTACGAGTCAAACGGATCTCAGAATCGGATTCAGCGGGTCGAAATACATGTTGGTAGGTGGGTCTGATTGAAAACACACATCCCTTTTCTGTCAGTGTTGTTATTATTGCACTTAAAATGTTTTCGTAAGAGCAGCAAAACATTCAAAGCGGAGTCTTCTAAGCTTGACCTACAGTTTTTACATACAAAACCTACTGATGAAAAACATATTTCGACCTCAACACTTTTAGGCTGAACTGTCAAAAGGTAGACATAATCCATTTGAAGATAATGACCCCTACCTCCTCCATTACAAAATATATGAACTTCTTTTACCAGCACGTCGAATAAATCATAAGTTTTTCGATTTCAGGAAGTTTTGAGTAGATTGATCTAAAAAATTATCTAACTTTTCTTTAAAACTCTTTACGACGCTATGAGTAAATTCGTTGAAATCTTCTTCACAAAAGGCTCAGACTGCAATTTAAAAGTACAGTTTCAAGCTTTTTGTGAATTGCAGTCAAAACGGCATTTTACAAAAATCTTACTTCAAAATTCATAAACAAATTCTTACTATCAATTCGATATTTAAAATTTTTCGGGATCCCGGGATTAATGCAAGCAAATCCCGGGATTTCCGGGACGTCAAAAACACCGGGGATTGGCATCCCTAGTATGTATACAAGGGTGGTAAAAAATAATTTTGTCGGAATTTTAATGCTCTCACCCCTATGAGTGTTCTGTACGGCAAAAATTATACCCCCGTTGTTTTATTTTTAGAAATCAAGAAATATTTAGAAGACGCCCAAAGCGCTAAAATCTTTCCAGGTATTTTATATGGGGAAAAATGAATTTTTCGTGGAAATGGTATAGACTTCTTGAAAATTACTATTTTTCGATGGGAAACTTGTTTTCTCTTCAGGAGACTTCCAATAACAATACCCAAATTTGTAACCAATTTTTAATATTAACTTTTTTTAGGTCCTCTAAAAACCCTAAAAAATGCAATGGGGACCCATAAAAATCGGTAGTTTTAAAATATGTAAAATAAACAATTGGGTATCATTATTGGAATTCTCCTGAAGAGTGCTATATAATTTATAATTTATTATAATTTTAATTCAACAAATAAATAAGTAAATATTTATATATTATACATATATAATATTGTTATATATATTTATTATTTAAGAAATATAGTATTTTTTGCATACTATATTTTTCCAACAGTATATAATACGCATACTGAAAAAATAGTTCAATACTATATATCAACGGTGGGCAAACGCGGCTCTTTGGGCCAAATGCGGCTCTTTGCTTAGCAAAGTGCGGCTCTTTTTACTTTCTCTTTGCCTAGAATATTTTGGCTCTTATGTGTATGTATATACACATATGCAAATTAAGATCGGAATATTACCCGCAATTGGAGAATGGAAATTCTCACTTAATGTTCTTTACCGATGTGATAGAACATTTGCAAAACTTGAATTTGTCTCTACAAGGAGAGAATAAAAGTGTTTTTTATTTGTCGCAAATTAATTTAAGTTTTGAAGCTAAACTTACGTCTTTTTTATGATCTCATAAAAAGAAAATTTTTTTAATAATTTTCCATGGCTAGAAAAAATATTGCACATGATTTAAAAGCGGATTTTGGAAAAAGATTTGCCGATTTGAAATTATATAAATGTACGCTTGCATACTTCATAAACCCTTTTTTATGTATCATAATTGAGGATGAATTTACAATATCCTTTTTAAGAAAAGCGAAGAAGAGTTGGAGTTTTTGGAATGAAAAGAAGATAAGGCACTGGAAATGCAACATAAAGCTTTGCTATTGCTGGTATTCCGGCAATAAGTACCAGATTTAAAATAACCGCTTTTGAAAACAGCTGCGTCCCGTACATTTCCTGTTTTTGGTACGACGTATAACTATGAGTCTGAACTCTACAAGGAAATTCGTAAAGTCAAAATACCGTTCACAATTAGTTGCATTCGCGTACCTGATAGTTATTGAAAGTTATAAAAACCATCAGCTTTTTGTGTTCGCGTACGCAAAAACTTGCAAAGTAGGGTAAATTGAGAGAGTAAAATGACATTTCATTTTGAGAGAAAGCTTCTGGTTTCTGCTGGAAAAATTTTTTCCAACTGCAATTTGCCAACAAGAAAACAGCTGGTTGGAATTTGCGCAAAATAAATAGTAAATA